CTGAAGACTTCGACCTTAAGATAATATATACAGTATAATAAGGTAATATATATATTCTTATTTATTTAAAGTCTGTCTAAAGTTAACTGTTTAAAAAGTGCAGTCCACATGTTTATTACAGTGACTTTGAATTACCTGAAGTAGTGTGGTAAAACAACAGATTGTTTTTATAATTCTGCAATCTGCGATAAAACAAGCAGACTGGACAGAAACAATCGTCAAAAATGCTCGAGTTTGCAGCGCACACTTCTTATCAGAAAAGGTTAAATAAAGTATTGTCTTTTGTTGTTATGGGCACATCTACAGATTTCTTGCCATATGTCTATGTTTCTTGCATCTCACGACTATGTCGTGTATGAAATAATGTCTGTGTGCATGTGTATAAAACAACAAACTGACAATTTATATATAATCATTTGTAATTGTATATACATTGTTGTAATTAATTGTGGCTGGAACAATAATGTAGCTGTAAAAATAGTTGCCTGCTGAAATTGAAATGTATATACATCTTCATCATGACTAGATAGACACAGTGAGTTAGTCTTTATTATACAGTTAGATGTGATCCACCTCATAGTAACAGTCCTGTCAGATCGTCCATCCTTTGAGTGAGAGTGTAACGTTACAGGTTGGCCGATCTGGTTTCGTGGTTAAAGTTAACCTTTTCGACATGTTTCCGCAATGTTGTCTGGGGGTTTGGCAAAAGGAGAGTGGGACGGTGGGTGGTGCTCGGGGGGGTGACTGAAGGCGGTGACTGTGTAGTCAACTTTTTACGGAAGTCACAACGGTTCGTGAAAAATCACAGCTACTTTAGGCAGGCTGTGTGAAAGTTACTGTGGACTGACTGTTTTGAAACTTACATGGTATTTACATAGCACCTAGACCTCAGTTATCAGGAAAAAAGCCAGGAAATTTCAGTTTTGACAATATGGGACCTTTAATTTGTGTTCCAAAGATGAACAAAGATCTTACAGGTTTGGAACGACGTGAGGGTAAGTAATTATTGACAGAATTTTCATTTTTGGGTGAACTATCCCTTTAATGAAATGCTTACTCAGAATAGAGGTGCTTTTGTGATTTATGAAAGCCTGGCGTGACCTGCACTGGCCTCCAGGAGTTAATGACTTCCATTGGGATATGATGAGGGTGTTGTGACATAACACAATGGCGACCACTCTATCTTGACCCAAGAAACATCCCGATTATCTCTGTTGAATCAGACTCAATCGGTGAATGGTTCAGAACCATTACTGAGTTCTCAGACTCATTTTGTTCATACAAATGCTGTTAAACAATTGAATTATTAACAAAAAAAATTCAAATATGAAACAAAAATTATTATTGGTGGTTATGCATGTGAGGTCCAATAGGTAGTATTACTAATTGAACTTTATTTAACGTTTTGAACAGCCCTCTTTATAGAGCATATCTATAAGTAGTCAGCTGAAGTCATTTGGCTTCTAATTGTTCATTTTAGGAGCCAATGGCTTCCTAGTCATATATTTAGTTATTTTTTTGTCTGGAGCTCCCAATCATAGTATAATGTGTCATATTGTCAGTACCTGACACTACAATGCTCATATCTGCAGCTAAAAGCATGGGTGGTGGATTTGTAGTAATTTCTGAATGGCCAGAAATCTTCAGCGCTTACTGTGAAGTTCTGCGGGTGCAGATTCTGTTTGGGCCTGTCATTAGTGTTTTAGCATATCTCGCTAACCTCACCCCAGAAAACCCTGCTTATCTTCACATGTACTTGATGGAATCTCCTGCTCCATCACGCCATGCCTCATTGAGCGCTTTTGTTCCATGAATGATTCACTAACCAAAATACACACAGACCCGTGGCTGCTGTGCATTGTAGTTCAAGTAAATGGGATTGTGACGAGTGGGGGCGGGACCGAGAGCCGTGGGAACGGAGCAAGGCTGGTGGAGTAATTGCTAATGCGTGACACCTGCGCCACTCACCGGTCTCGAGTCTCACGGAGGAACTCCGGAAGAATAAAAAGGAGGAGTGACGACAGTGAAAGACGAGAGAGGACCAGGCCTGGAGTTTATTTTGTGTTTTGGTTTCGTGTGTGCGCAACGGTCGTCCGCGAGGGGCTGTCGCACTGTTTTGTGTTTATTTTATTATTAAAGTTTTGTTGGAATGTTCGCCGGTTCCCGCCTCCTTCTTCCCGTGACTACAAACGTTGTTACATTGGTGCCGAAACCCGGGAGGAAGGAGGGGCACGCTGCCAGAGATCCCTCGCCGCTGTGGTGAGTCTGCGGTGCCATCAAGTATGGCGGAGAAGTCTGCCGCCATGGAGGCTCGAGGCGGTGGGTTGGAGTGAGATGCCGGGGGGGTGGACAAACTCGCTGCCGGCCACCTGGGCTCTGGAGGGACGGCTGCCATCCGTGAGGGAGCGGAGGAGTCGCCGCCGTTCGCCTGAGGCCGGAGCCTGCTGCCATCCGCCATGATGGGGAGGAGCAGGGAACGGGGGACTCCTGCCGGCTGCCCGAACACGGAGGAGCCGTCGCCGTCCACTGGGCGGCGGAGGGTTGTCGTGCCGTCCACCGAGGGCTGTCCAGTGCCACCGCCTGGCATCGCGGAAGAGCTTACCCAGCTGGGGGAGGGCCGAGCGGCAGTGTGTCTGGGAACCGGAACAAGATTTTTATTTATTTTTTTCTTCACTCTCTCGTCTCTGGCTCTCCTCATCCTTCCGTCTCCTTTTCTCTCGCCTTGTCTGTCTGTCCTTACCCCCAGGTACGCCGCGGCCGCCATGATCGGCTCCCCCGGAGGGGGGAGGGGGGAGTAGAGCGCAGTCTCGTGAGTACCCCCCGGCCTGCGAGGGGCGATGGGGGTATGTGACGAGTGGGGGCGGGGCCGAGAGCCGTGGGAACGGAGCGAGACCGGGGGAGGAATTGCTAATGCGCGACACCTGCGCCACTCACCGGTCTCGAGTCTCACGGAGGAGCTCCGGAAGGATAAAAAGGAGGAGGGACGACAGTGAAAGACGAGAGAGGACCAGGCCTGGAGTTTATTTTGTGTTTTGGTTTTGTTTGTGCACGACAGTCGTCCGCGAGGGGCTGTCGCGCTATTTTGTGTTTGTTTTTATTATTAAAGTTTTCTTTGAGTGTTCGTCGGTTCCCGCCTCCTTCTTCCTGAACTACAAACGTTGTTACATTGATTAATCGTGTTATTGATTAAGCACTGCAGTTGGTTGCACCTGGATCAACGAAGAGTCTTGGCACAGTGTCAAAATGCAGCACGCTGTTGCTTTCTGAACATCCTCCATCCTGGTAATTATGGATGCAAACTCTGCTGTGTCAGAACTGCATGGAGGAGATGACATTTTGGTGTCAGCAACATATGGATAACCCAGCCTCTTCTATTCTGCTTTGAAATGTTGGTTCAGTGTTCATGTGAGCCTGAAACTGACAGCACGAGGGGGGAGGAGATGTAGGTGTACCTCAGAGACCTGGATGAATCCTGTTTTGTAGCATACACTGCACAAAATCACTTACTCTTTATTTTCAGTAACAATACTGTAGTGAAATTATGTATAGTATTAAGACTTTTTTTCAGATATGTCTTGAATTAAGTTTATTTTTCTCACCCCATTGGCAATTATTTTTCTTCTTTTAAACAGGAATCTGCCAGAATTTAGTGTTTATGCTTAAGAAAAAACTGTTAGCCAATGGCGTAAGAAAAGTAAACTTAATTTAATATATATTCTGTGTGTAGAATTATAAGTCTTGTAGTTTTGCTTCTCAAGTGAATTGATCTTGTCTTAAGGATGTTTAGATATTGTTCAATTTGAAAACAAGACAAAAACTGTTTTTTGCATTGTAGTCCAATATCCTTGTGCTAGGACTGTTCTTTGTTGTTCATTTCTGGCCATCTTCAAGATCATTTTGTCAGATTTTGAATCAATATCAGATTAACAAGAATAATTTTAAATAACATTCATGTCTATATATTGCTGTTGCTCATCAAATCATTTTAAGAGCGCCTTCCCTGGCACGTCCCTTAGGGCGAGAACCATTTTTACTGTGCTCCATAAATCATCAGCATAATTAAAGGTCTTACAAGGACCCAAACCGTGTCATTAATTTAGCACATATTTGCGTGGTGGTGTCAAGTTCTTGTTTATTGCAGAATGGCAACATATAAAGTAAAATACAAACACGCTCTCAAAGTTAGTGACATTTGCTGGATGTACTGTTGTGTTGTAAGCTGCCGGGTCACACATTATGCTCCAACGTGAGAGTCTCTGCTCAAAGCAGATAAATAAACATTCAAAGCCATTTTCCAGGTCATCCAGATTGGTTTAATCCATATCATGTAACTTTTATGTAATTCGTTCCATTCTTTTTTATGGAAACAATTATCTGTTCTGTCAGAACATCCCCCACTTTGGAAAGTGTAACAGTATCACTGACTGCACTGCACTTTTCATCTCTGATCAGTGGTGGTTTGTCATTTTGCCCATGTGAGACGAGCCAGACTGCCACTTTGTCTCTCCCATCCTCTCATTCAGCAGGGTTGGAAGGAAATAATATCTAAGCTTTCTTTCATATCACCCATTAAAGACCATATTATTATGATCAACTTTTCTAGACTGCAGGCTTTTCCAAAGAAAACTGCAGATTCCCCCCTTAAATTGGCAGATATCCCTACATGCTGTTGTAGGGATCTTGCTTTTATTCCCTGCTGTGCATGCTGGATAATAATTTTTCCCTTTCATGTCACTGTGATTAGTTTCAACATCTTGCCTAATTGAAATGATGCTGCCATTAACACCTCTGTGAAGGATGGGATGTTCTAATTCACCGCCTTACATTGAGGACGTGTCATTTTTGCTGTCACACTGCCTATTCCACTCAGCTCCTCTGTCATAATTCTCAAAGGCAGCCGCAAAGCAGGCTATATCCATATATTTCACAGGCTATCACACTGACCCTGCCTCCCTTCTCTCTCTCTCTCTATATATATATATCCCATCCCCTCCCCTCAGGGGCCTGAGGCCTGGACGGCACCCGGAAGAAGACGATATCGTTCCCGAGCTTGCCAGGAGCATCCACCCCCGAGAGCGACCTGACTGGGAGGAAACCATCAGCGCAATGGTGAGGAGCCAAGTTCTCGCAGTCTCGCACAAATTCAGCGACTCCCTCCCACACCCTACATTTACAAAGCCAGTCGTGAAGACAGCAGATATCACACCCTCAAGCTGTGAAAATGAAAGATCGACTGCTTGCTGTTCGATAAAGACAATATCACAACTGTCGTTTCTGAAGGATAATTCTGTACTTTTTTTTGTGGGTCCCTGATTCTTTTACATAAGACCCATATTGCTGCTGTAGACTGTTGGCCATTATAACCTGTCTGTGGGAACATGCTCTTGTCAGATGCCTGCAGAAGGATAATGCAGATCTGGTCATTATCCTACGAAAAGCAGATTCATTTACTGACTAGCAAAAATGACCTTGAGGGACTTCAGATTTATATTTATGGTATATATACAGAAAACATATAATGGAGCACTGGAAGCTTGGGCGACTCCAGTTAAAGCAATAAATCAAAAATATTTGCAGAAAAAGAAGAATCAAATATACACTACCATTCAAAAGCTTTTTTTTATGCTTTTTGAAGTCTCTTATGCTCACCAAGCTTTTGTTTGATCTAAAATTCAGTAATATTGTGAAATATTACTACAATTGAAATCATTTTCTATATGAATTTCTTTTGAAATGTAATTTATTACTGTGATGGCAAAGCTGAATTTGTCAGTAGCCATTACTCCATTCTTCAGAGTCACATGATCCTTCAGAAATCATTCCAATATGCTGGTTTGATGCTCAAGAAGCATTTCACATTATTAGTGTTGCAAACAGTTGTTGGTTCATATTTTTGTGGAAACTGTGATACTTTTCACTTTGATAATTGGAAAGTTCAAAAGAACAATATTCACTTTACGGAAGAGGTCTGACACAACAGGTTAGTTTTATACAAAACAGTTTATTTGGTCACAGTGAGTACTGGTGTTGAGTCTGGAGGAAGTGAGGGTGAGGGAAAGGTCCGTGAGAGAGTGCAGAGGATATGGAGAGTGGAGTAATCTGAGTCTTTTGCTTGATTGAGCCTGGAAGGTATCCGGGGGAAGCACACACCTCAGCGATCTGGGAACTAGGAGACACTAGGAGGAACACAGGAGGTAGGTAATGCAAGACGTATTCAAAGGTAATCAGTAGCAAAGCCATTGCGTCCTCTACGTGTATACGAGACCGGACAGTGAGGATGTCTGAGGTGTGTGCTTTTATGCAGGCTGGTAATGAGGTACTTGATTGGTGACAGGTGCGGGTGCTCAGAACTCAGGTGAGAGGGATTGTTGTGATTGGGTGGTGGCGGAGCCTGGCCGATCTGTTACAGATATATTAATAAAATGAAATGCTAAATAAAATTGTTTTTTTTAAGAAAAAATATTTGCTGACCCCCAAACTTTTGAACAATAGTATACCAATAAGATTATAGCATAGAGTCAGAATTTCATACTTATTTGCTAGGTAGTTATATTTTTATACCACATAATGGTTCTTGATTTAGTGTTCAGCCATAGCTTTTTGCTATCAAATAGGTAAGATGTAATGTAGTCAGTTATTCATTACTGCAAAATACACCCCGACATGAAGCAGCTAACTACAATATGACTTTGCATTGTTTTGCAATAATGAGCAGAGAGACATTTGATTTGATTGCAGAAGTCCCCTGATTGACCTATCAAAATGGAGTGTTCCAGAGAGCCGTGTAGTAATAGATGATCGTATTAAGATGCTCTGAAGATCTACATCATTTATAACATGCTTTCCCCAGCCATTGTTCAATACTGAATTCGTTTCAATTCATGATTATTTCACCAGCACTGACATACTTGCATTCAATGGTGCTGATAAAAAAAAAGAACCTTTCTCCATGGCAACTTGACTGTTGGCTGATGTTGTTTTGAGCACAAACAGATTAGCGAGGATATATCAAGGGAATTACAATGTATCAGCTCACTCATATGACAAATTAATTTAATGCTCTTTGGCTCGATTTTATACTATTGTGTACCAGGGTATTAATTGAACTCGTTAATTGTACAGTCAAGGTCATCAAGCTCCAGTGTCTGTCGTCTTGTCACTGTAGTGACCTAGTTTCACTGTCTCTTATAGTGAAGTGAGACTGTGATGATCAACAGTCTGGCTGTTACGAATAACGAAATAAACCAGATTTGGATCGGACCCAGTTGAGTTTTCACACCATGTTTTATACCAGCAGAAGCTGGTCTGTTCAGCCACATGCTACAGGCTACATGGTCAAGAGCCTTTTAATAAGCCCATGTCTGGCAGCTAAGAGCCGCACTTTCAAAGCATTATTCATATTTCATAGACCTTTCGAATCACTAGCATGTTTTGTTTTGCCTTGCCAGATGACTGCGTGTCTCTCGTTTGGCTAGGCATTGAAGAGACTGGCAACAGAGTTTTATAAAGCATACCAGCTGTCAAATGTTTTAGAGGCAGGGCACAAGCTTAGCCTTTCTAAAACCAGAGTTCAGGGGCTCTCAGCTTTTTGGCATATTCGTTTAACCTGTCTTTGACCCTGTTGTAGCTTTCTCTCTCCTTCCATTACTCAGCAGACTTGTTTTATGTTGCCTACAATATTCTCATTATACTGTGCTGTTAACTTTAAAAATGGATTTGTGTATGAGAGAGATTTGTCTCTTTAGCTCTTATTTGCACAGAAAGATTTGTGTAGAGATGGGAGGAGACTGTCCTGTTAAATGTCCTGTTAAAAACTATATTCAAGTGCTTTATCACTTTAATGTAATGCATAAGTATAATTGATGGTATTGTAAAAGGCTATTCACATAAAGTCTTTAAAAAAAATTAGTGGTCGAACACTATTTGTTTCAGTGGCGATACTGATATCTAACGAGCACAGTAGTTGATGGACAGTTTAGTTGTAGCAAATGAGATGCGCACAAAATTACAATTAAACTTTTGTTTTACACAAAATTAATTCACTAAATATTTAAAACAGAACATTATGTATAATCTATGATTACATTTTTTTTTTATTGTGATTTGGTTTCACAATTGGGGTTGTATAATATTATTGACAAAAATGATATGCCAGTATTTTATCAATAATGATAATTGGAAACAATTTTGCTGCATGAGCTTTCAAGGCATTTTGAAACAACAATTACGATATTATTGTATACTATATATATATGCTCATATATATCACACACCCTGCTCACAATGATATTGTACCTCACAATTGCAAATTTATTTCTCATAATTGCAACTTTATCTTACAGTTGTGACTAAACTTGATTTCTAAACTTATTCTCATAGTAGTTTTTTTTCTCAGAGTTTGAAACTATGATCTGTCTTGTTTTTATCTGAGTATTTTTTTTATTGAATGACGAAAACTCTTTATCAAACTGGTAATAGTTGTGGAGTAGGCTTGCCACGATAGACGGTGCTGACGGTGATATCGGTGTTAAGCCGCAACACCGGTTACGTTACTTGCCCACTGCGTCACTGACCCCCACCGTCGCTTTGATTTTTATAGTAATAAAAATAATTTAGTTTAGTAAAAGAACAGACACTACAATTAAAAACTGAATGCGGCTGCTCAATGCAGTTGAATGACAGTTGCATCACAGATCAGATTTCATTTCTCCAGTGAGGAGAGTGAGTCGAGCTGACTGACAAGAAGAGTGAGGTGAGGTGAGATAGACAAGACGATTGCGGATGATTTAGTTTAGAAACGAAATGCAAAAGCGCCCGTTTGGCAATATTTTGGATTTTGAAAAGCCTGTTGACTTTTGCCATTTATCTAAGGTGATTTTGGAAGTTTTTTTAAACATTTGTTTCTTATTTAATTGGTTCCACATTGTTTGCTGATTTTTACTTTATTTAAACTTTGTGTCATTTAGTTATTTGACATCAAGGTGTATGCCGTGAATCCGTGTATCATTCGGTCATTCGTTTTTTGATTTAATATTGAAAGTAGAAAAATGAGAAAACGGCTCCTTTTTCGTTTTTTCGTTTTTTTCCAAAAAACGAGAATTGAGAATTCAGCTTAAATTTTCGTTTTTCGTTCATGGGTAGAAAAATAAATAAACAGCTTGAATATTTGATTGGTCAGCCGAAGATCAAACCGTGCCATCATCAGTTCTTCTGCAGCAGCATAATAGTCCTCTACTGCTGCAGTTGTATGGATTCTTAACGCATTTATTGCAACTACATTTAATCTTTTTTTCATCAAACAAACAGTCAAATTAATAGCTTGACACAACTCGTACCGGGGTATTGTCTAGACAGGGTTTTCTTCTGTGTAGATATAAATTCTATTCTTTGCATCAGCTGAGCATCTTTCTGGCGCATGCCACAAACATGAACCACAGGGAATACTCGTCTTTTAAAAGGCTTCATTTAGATTATTTTACATTAAATGCATCATATAAGTCACTTTGGAATAAATCACAGTAGGCCTATGTATCATGATAAAAAAAGTGACTTTACAGTCTGGAAATACTTTAGGCTATAGCAATATTAAGGCTATACTATTTCTTGGATCACTTTAAGAACTGCTGGTCTACACAGAAGAAAGCCCTGTCTAGACTCTGCCCCTGTACGAGTTGTGTCGAGCTATTCATTAGTCTGTTTGATGAGAAAAATATGATATTGATAAAATGGGTTATTAATCCGTATGACTGCAGCAGCGGAGGACTATTATTCTGCTGCGTGATACTGCAGAACAACTGATGATGGCACGGTTTGATCTTCGGCTGACCAATCAGCAGAAAGGGGCGTTTAATTCCCGCCGACATGTAGAAATCAAATATTCAAGCTGTTTATTCATTTTTCCACCCATGAACGAAAAACTAAAATTTAAGCTGAATTCTCGTTTTTCATTTATGGAAAACCATTTTCTCAATTTTCTACTTTCAATATTAAATCAAAAAACGAATGATCGAATGATACACGGATTGCCGTGCCTCCAAGCTTTCTTACTCGTTTTGCTAAAAAGCGTTCTACGTTTCTTATTTATTTGGTTATATATTATACATGTTTACTTGTTTCCAGTTTTGTACATTTAAACTTTATGTAAGTTATTTATTATTTTATATTAGGCATAGCCTGCCCTTTAGCATGGTGTATTTTTATTTGTTTTGTTAATAAAAGTTCTATGTTATATATATACGCTAATGTGAGTTTGACGTTGTATTTTGTTGTTGCATTTAAGCAATTGATGCCTAACTGCCGCTAATTCTAAAGTTAAAGTAAAATGCGCACAGCGCTTTTAAGCTATTTAAAAGTGAAGGAAAGCGAAGAAAAGAGGGGAAATTCAAACGAACAATTGCTTTACTCTGAATTGTCACTATTTGAAAGTGAAAGTAAAATGTGCACGCCATTTTTACAAGCTATTTAAAAGCGAGGAAAAGAGAGAACGCCCCTGCGGTGATACCAGTATTACCGGTGTTGTCACACGTCGATTAACCGGTGGGAAAATTTCTTCACCGTCACAACCCTATTGTGGAGCAAAAATACCTTGTACATCTTTAATGCAGTACTTTTGTGTTGTTTTGTCACATTGGCCCTGGTGTGAACAGGCCATAACTGTGCCATTTGGTGAGGATGAGCTATTGGAATGTGACCAGGGACATAGACTGTCATGTCCCAATCATGCATTGAAAAGGAGCATGTGTATTTTTCTTTCAGGCACGGAGTGCTGAAATTCCAGAGCTGAGCTCTGAGCCTCTCATGCGCTCTTGCAGCAGTACTGCCAGCATGAAGGTGAAGAACGTCAAAAAGTAAGTGTCAAAAATTCACACAGCCAAAGTCACAAAGGCTTCTTTTCTCCATATTTTCAAGCAGTCAATCACTGACTAGCCTTCATGTTTATAATAGCTGAATTTTGAACTGAATATTGAATATTTGTGATCTTTTCAGGCTCTCATTCACCAAGGGCCATTTTCCAAAGTTAGCCGAATGTGCCCATTTCCACTATGAAAACGTTGACTTTGGGACGATACAGGTAAGATCTTAAGCCCTTAATAACAGTGGACTTCAATGCTTCAATTACAGAGTGGACCTCAGTGACCGGACTTGAAAAGGACAGCATTGAAAATGAGGCACAAGAGAGATTAAATTCTGATGTGCATGTGTGTTTGTGCAATGAAATGTCAGGGGTGTGCAGATAACGCCAAAGTGCCACAGTTGGGAAAGGGACAGTAGCAAGGCTCAGAGGGATTGAAGCAAGTAGCAAGGCTCTAATGCAAGGCTCAGAGGGATTGAAAAATGAGGATCAACATGATTTAATATCACTATAGCAGCAGTAGCTCTCTTGCAGATGACTATTTCCTCTGCTGGAGCTGGGTATCACCAACTACTTCACAATACAGTACACATCTCAATACATATGTCATGATTCAATCGTGATGCATCATTATATGTGACCCTGGACCACAAAACCAGTCATAAGGGTCAATTTTTCGAAATTGAGATTTATACATCATCTGAAAGCTGAATAAATAAGCTTTCCCTTGATGTATGGTGTGTAAGGATAGTACAATATTTGACTGAGATACAACTATTTGAAAATCTGGAATCTGAGGATACAAAAAAATCTAAATATTGAGAAAATCGCCTTTAAAGTTGTCCAAATGAAGTTCTTAGCAATGCATATTACCAATCAAAAGTTTTTATATATTTACAGTAGGAAATTTACAAAACGTCTTCATGGAACATGATCTTTACTTAATATCCTAATGATTTTTGGCATAAAAGAAAAATCTATAATTTTGACCCATACAATATATTTTTGACTATTGCTACAAATATAATACCCCAGCGACTTAAGACTGGTTTTGTGGTCCAGGGTCACATATCATAATTGGATCTTAATTGAAACTGCGCCAGAAGCGTAAGAAAAAAACTCAGCATGAAGGCGAGAGAGTGTGAATCTGCAGTATCAGTATCTCTTCACTTTTGTATGCTGAGAAAGACCAGTTTTAGAGTTTGCACTTTTGGCAACATGCTGCTTCTCTAAATGTAGAAAATTATATTAATAAATACATGTATATAAATAAATATATATATATAGCAAAAACTTTCTGCAAATACATCTGTAAATCTGTTTTTGAAAGCCGATTTACATTAGTTTGCTTTAAAGTGGGGGTGGTGTTGTGAAGCATATGACTTGTTGTGAAACACATGACTCATGAAGCATATGGTAGGTTAGAGGAGTGTGACAGCTTAGGTCAGCGCTGTACATGGTGACTTTGGTTCTGAGGCAGTAACAGAGCTCAACACTCTGGAAAGGATTAGAGGGCATTTGTAGGACAATGTTATCCCTTTCAAAAACAGGTAGACGGTGCAGACAGAACCAGAATAACTATTTTTAACTAAAACATGACAATGCTAGACCTGATGCAATGACGCATTTGTACATAATGCCCAGTGTACCCGATCCTACTTTCGACATTCATCTTTTCAAGTGGGAAAAAAAACTTTATTTATCTGTATTTCAGACTAGGTGACTAGGTTCGGCTTCTTCAGTGTCTTTTCAGAATTGCTCTTCCCTTTTACATATTTAAAATTTCTCATTATAAACTGTATCAAGGCTCAGTGAAAGCCTAAGAGGATTGGTGGGAATGCTGAATAGCGCCTTGTTGTGTAGGGACAGGAGGTGGGGTGCTGTGACAGTGTCGGGAGATCTCTGTGCCTCTGTGTTTGGGATTAAGGGTATAATGGAGCGCTCACAGAATGAAAAAATAGATTGGCATGGTGTCGAGGGCCAGACAATTGGGAGTGAAGCAGTGGTTTCTTCAGGGGGCCTTTACACTGAATATTAATCCTGCTTTTGGAGGAATTGCCCTGGGAAAGCCAAAATATGAGACTGCATTTCTGTATTACTGTTTATGGATTATTGTTGTTACAACATGCGTCATATAGATACAGCAGGTAGTAGCCTGCGCTGGTGTCCAGTAGAGGGCGGCAGCTTACTTCTTTTACCAGTTTGCAGCCCATGCAGCAGGATACCATGGCGACAATGAAGAACATCAATAATTCTCTTTACTCTGCTACATAATCATGGTTTAAGCACAAAACAACTAAATCCGGAGAAGACTTGCAGCTCTGAAAGATTGAGCCTGTGGTTGTACAACAACAGCTGGCACGGATACATCAGCCATGTTTGCTGTGTTCCTACCAGAACCCTGCATGTCATCCAGATCACTTGACTGTCCCAAAAGAGCAGCGGAATGACTGAGTTTCTCTGCATTCAGAAACGGCTCCAGAGAAACGCTGTTGTCCATCGGTACCATATCGGTTATCAGTGATTTTATATGTATATTAGGGATGTGCATCTCCATAATGAGGCTGATGCAATGCGCATCTCAATGCATAGCCAACAATACGATACATTAAAGATATATATGAAGCAGCTACCGATGCAATGCGATACGATTCACCCCTATTACGATGCAGTGCAATTCGATTCGATTAAACACAATGCGATTCCTTGCAGTACGATGCAGTGGAAAAAATATGATCACTTCTGATGCCTCAAGGCCTGTTTCATAAAACAAGTTTACCAAATAAGTCAGGCTTATTTCAGTTAGTCTGACTCATTGTCGAATGATTTGGTTCCATAAAGCAAATTTATCATAGGCCTAGATCAAGCTCTGACTCTTACATACTATTATTTGACTTTTTTTACCATTTCTAGCCATACAGCCTTTCTCTCTGGTTTTATTACAGCTGTAGCTTTTATAGTTAGCAGAACATTACATTCTAAAATTGCTCTTTAAAGCATTAAAATAACTAAATTAAAAGTTAAAATCACTGAATTACAAATGAAAATAAATAATAAAGAAAATGACTATTTTAACTGGTATAAGAAACACACATTAACTCATTTGAGCTTAGTAATTACTACTACTAGCTTATGTTTGATTTACCTATTACAATAGTCCCTTTACAGTTACTGCTATCATAAAAATACATTTATATGTAGGTTTAAAATTCTACAAAAGACACATTTAATGTCCAAGAACAAATATTTTAGCAAAATGTATATTTTACTCAGAATTATTGCGCTACTATTCGATTGCGCTCCGTCGGTTTAGCGCTCATGTGCACAGCAGCACTTGTTCACTCGCATAATCCTCGCCCACTCCTAACATGACTTTCTAACATTTGCAGATGAAAAATATGCATGACATGTCAGTTATGCACTGAGGAAAACACAACGTCTCTAATGCATTAAACAGCACAAATTTATTCGCTGTTTGCCATGGTGCATCGATTTGTTCCATGATCGACATTAAGGGCTGCTTAAGAATAAGCGTGCACAAATTAGTGAGATTGCGTGAACTTAAATTGTCGTTTATGGAACCGCTTTAGCCCCGATAGATTTGTTAGGTTATTTCAAGTAATGTTTTGGATTTTAGTCCCCGCTTTTCTTAGTGTCTTTTATGAAACAGGCCTCGGGTCTCCGTAGTGTTGTGATTGGTCAGATTCATGCAGCAGCAGCGGTGATGAGAGCTAGAACGTGCTTGAGAAACAGTTTAGACAGGAAAATCAATCTACATATAAAATATTGGACACAGATTTTTGGTCACTTTCTAAATAATAAAAGTATAGCGCATCCAATAGTAATTCTACATAAATAAATTGTTTTTTACCAATGCAAACATGTTAGAAATGATGCATCGCGATACAAATGCCAACTTGTAGCCAATGCACACTTTTCAAATCGATGCATCGCATCATTAACTTCTATGCTGATGCACCGGTGCGAATCTGTGAATCTTCCCATCCCTAATGTGTGTGTATGTGTATATATATATATATATAAAATGTATTGGTTGATATCAGATAATTGTCCATATTTTTACATTTTGACAAATTCACTTAATAAATAGGTATGCACAAAATGCTCTACCGTTCAAAAGTTTGGGGATTGTAATTTTTGTTTTTTTTGTTTGAATGTTTTCAAAATAACTCTCTAATGCTCACCAAGGCTGCATTTATTTGATCGTAAGTACAAGAAACAAATGTAATTTATTCCTGTAATGGCAGATCTTTTTAATCAGCCATTACTTCAGTCTTTAGTGTTACTTGATCCCTCAGAAATCATTCTAACAGGCTTATTTGCTGCTCAAGAAATCTTTCTTCTTATTTTTTATTAATGTTGAGAACGGTTCTGCTGCTTAATATTTGTGTAATTAAAAAAACATTTATTTGAAATTGATATCTTTTGTAAAATTGTAAATGTCTTTACTGTCACTTTTTATCAATTTAATTCATCCTTGTTAAATAAAGGTATTAAAAAAAATCTTGCATTTCCCAAACTTGCAAACAGTAGTGTGTCTGTACCGTGTCACTTATTTATTTATTTATTGATTGATTGAAAGCAGTTCATATCCAATATTTAATTGTACATGCTCATTTCCCCAATTTGTGCATTTACCGTTGCCCTCATCTAACCGATCACTTTAAGTTGATCTTTAAATGTAATCTTTAGCAAATCTCAAAATGAATATCCATTTTTCATATTATAATGTTGTGATGCCTAAATTGACTTGCATTTATATAGCAATAGTATATTAATTTTAATATCTGCAATTCATCAGCTTATCAGCATTGCACAGAATTGTAATCTCAGTGCAGTTTCTTAATAAATTTGTATCCTTGTTTACGCTGTTGCCTATATTAGTGTGTGCCACTACGGGAGCGCTTTATGTCCCCCACTGCTAAAGGTTTAGCAATAATTGCTACATTGCTCACGTGGCATTGACCCCTTTTGTCTGTAGCATCACTCATTGATTTTATTATTGTTGCGTTGCTCTACATGGTCATACGACATTGCTTTTAGCAAAACATGGTTTAGATTTTCCTAAATGCTTTATTTTTGTGCCTTGCACTGCTTATGTTGCTTGACATTAAACAGTTGTGGTTTAATGCTCCGGAGGTGACTTTGCATTTGACATCTTAATTGTGTTGTTGGATACGGTGGCCAATTGTCTGTTG